GGCCCCTACAGGCGTCCGTGATTGGTGCGCGCGCGCGAGGGGAGCATGAGGCGCTCGCCCGCGGGGCGGGGGCTGAGCCTGAGGGGAACGCTGAGGGAAGGTGAGAGGGAGGGAGGGAGAGCGAGAGAGAGGGGAGGAACAAAAAAAGGAGGGAGGAATGGAGAGGGGGGACACCTCACGGTGCACTGTGCCGTGGAACTGCCGCTGCTGGGTCCGCCGTGATGCGGCGCTGAATGGGGCTGGCACCCCCTCAGGCGGGGCTGGCCTTGCTTAGGGCTGCTCAATGCGCCGGTGTTATTCACTCCGTGAACGTGATACCGAAATATGTGGGAAATCTCCGCACGGTGCGAAGTGGGTCGCGGCGACCAATAATAACCGTATTTAAAGTCCGCTCCTTAATGAAAGTGACTGAGTTAGTTACCGTATGAGGGCTGGCTCATGCCCGCTTGGTGAACTGGCCTCTTGTGGCTCGGGATCACGCCTGAACAGAAGGGTAGAGCTACGGGAGCAAGAATAATGTCTACACGCAGTGCTTTGGACATGAGTTTCTTATAGCTTTGGCATGGCTTTCCTGTTTTGGGAAAGGCCAGCACCTGCCTTACGGTCCTTCCCCCCCCCCAGCATCCGAGTGTGGGAGCGGTGATGTCACAGCCCGCTGGAGGAGCCGAGGCCTTCCCGCCCCTCCAGCGGAGCGGGTGGGACTGTCGCCTCATATCTTATATCACCTCGTCATAAATGAGCAGTAAAGCAATAAATCCCTTCAAGCCTTGAACTACCTCTGCACTCTCATGATTTTTCCCCCCCCTCCTTTGGCTGTTCACTCCTGATGGTCTTTTTCTGTATACGAGAGACTTGCAGCCTCTTGTAATAAAAGATGCCATTATTGTGGTGATCATTGTTAAAGCTGGGAATTGCTGGGTTGTGAGGGAGTTCCTGATAGGCTCCTTCCCTCATCCTTCCCCAAACTATTTCACCACACGGGCTGCTCTCTCATTTTGTTGCATGCTTCACTTTGGCACTCTAGTGCTGGAAAATCCCCAAGGAGCCTACGGATTTTCTGGGAAGTGGCAGGAAAGGTCCAGAAATGGCTTTGGAACAGGCTTTGTGCTGGCAAAGCAGCTTCAGCACAACCAAAGCTGTTTTGGCTGAGGCATACCAGACTCAAGAGGAACAGTGATGTATGACTTAGGAATGCCAAACCGGGACAGAAGACACAGAGATTTTCTTTTCTCTTTATACCACAGCTCTTCATTTATGAAATAAAATCCTTTAACTCAGGCACAGATTAGGGTGCTGGAGAGGAGACATGCAGTTGCTGCTGGAGATGGCTACTCAGGACTGCAGAGGAGTCCTTTCTTTTTCAGAACCCTGCTCAAGTACCTGACAACATTGCTGATGTTGAATATCTCAACAGAAAAAATATGTGAGAAGAAGGGGTGAAAACAGCAAAAAATATGCCTTACACACAGGCTCTTCTGTTTCCAGCTGCTCGAGCTTCACACTGGCTTGTCATGATAGCATGAATAACAGGACTTGCATTTTTTTTCCCTAATTAGAGTTGTTTGACTGATTTTTTTTCCTCTAGATTGCTATCAGTGTAGAAAGAAAAGGCAGTAAAATCTGAGAAAAGAAACATTTGTTTTTCCTGGATATAGAGAATTCTACTCACTTTTATTAGACAAGAAAACTCCATCTCGTTGCTACTGGCCATTTCACTGACAGTTGTTCAAAAGCTTTGCTTCAAAACCTCCAATAATCTCTTCCAATGAATCAGAGAATTTAAAAGGAGATAGGAAAATTATGAACTATTTTTTATAACCTTTTTATTACAACACACCCTTTCTTAGTGTAAGTTTAGCTCGGGTTTCAGTCCTTTAATGACTTCCGTTTTGATAAGTATCCTGGATCCATGTGAGGGCCACATGCATGTTGCCTTTAGATGCTTGTTCTGCTCATGACACTGTTTATTGGTTTCGTGCTTTCTTAGCAGTGAGCAACTCATAGCCATTCACTGTTGATTTTACAAAAAGGGTGTAACTCACCTGAAAACAATTCACTCTGTTTTCCAATAAACACTGTCTCTCTCCTGGGGAGCCACAACACTGCACAGCACAATAAAGGCAAGAACAAAATACTTGTAATAGAACTTTTGATATGCATAAGGTGAATAATCATAAGTGGCTGCAGGTTTAGTTGATATGTAGGCAAATAGATATGTTACTGCCAAAATGATTTTTATTTCATTGTGCCTAAAAGTAAATATTGGTTATTGCTTATGATGATGCTTGTTTACATTGTGGGTAGGGGTTCTTTTAGCCACGGTACCCTGCATTGTACATTTCAAGTGTGGTTGGCTGGAGTGGGTGGGAAGCAATGTGACGGCAGTGGCACAAGCTTGCTCTGACTAAAATCTTAGGCAGCAGTGCCAGGGATATGAAGTGCATGGTCTGAAGGCAATTCAAAACTCAGTATAGTATGTGGAAAGATAGGAAAATAGATTTGTTCTTATCCAAGAAAATTTTCTGCTGTTATCTAAAAACTTCCCCAATTTGGCTCAAAGCATTCAGGAGGAACAATGCATCAGAAATTTATACTGCTCTTCTTCATGCAGTGTGCATTAAACAGATAAACAGTATGAGATATTTTCCTTAGAGACCTACTAAGATGTACTTGTCGTAAGTTTTAAGTCCACATTCAAATAAAACAGTTAAGAAAAAAATAAAACAAAACAATTTCTTCTACTTATATGTGTAATATTTTTCTGCTCCTGAGGAGGAATCAATTACACTTAGGTAATTCTTGTAATCAAATTTAACAAAACTAAGGCTCAGAAGCTCCAAGACTGACTGACTAGTTAAAGTACTGAACTTGGGTTTGTGAAGACTGATTACGTTCTCAGCAGCTGATGTTTGTCTCAACAACTGATGTTTGTTTCCATTGAGAAGCACCTTGTTGTTAGGACCAATGCTTTATCCTATCTCATGGATTAGTCAATCAACCAGCCATCTTCTTCAGTAATGGGAAAAGGCAAAGGTGTCTTCATGATCCTTATGTTGAATTTTACACCATAGCAACCAAACTGCATTAGCACACTTTTGTAGCAGACGTGGGTTCTATATTATGTTCAACTTCTGCCTCAATCTAATAGGTTAATTTGATGTAGCATCTAATAAATGAGACCTATTAAGAGAATAATTCCTCAGCTGCCTGTATCCCCATGATAACCTGGCTTTAAAGCCTGTAAAGGAAGTAACTGAGATAAGGAAGGTTAGGCCACAGACAAACACATAATGACTAATTCTGCTGTAAGCAAGGTACAAGCTGGACTAAGCTACCCACTTCTGGTGTGAGCAGAGCCTTGAGACTTTGTATGACCTCTGCTATCAACATGGAGGGAGACAAAACTGCCAGTCACAGAAATCTCCTTCCCCTCAGACAGTAAAACACATTTTTTTTCTCTGTAATTTACTTTGCCTTCAACTCCATACCATGACCACATAATCTGTTACTTCAGTGGCTGAACAGAATATAACTGTGAGTCCACTACATCCTTTGAAGTAATGGAGACACTTCTGCAAGTCTTGATGGAAATTTTTATTTTCCATTGGCTTTGAATGCAGCCTTAATCATATATTCAGGAAACAGTCAATCATGTCTCTTGTCTATGACAGTATAATATGAGCCTTTTGTTAATTTATTAATTAGTGTAATTTAGTAAAGCTTATTGAAACATTTTTCCCCCATTTTCCTGTAAAACTTATATATCTGGAGGAAAGGGAATTGCAGCTGGCTTGATGCAATTTTATGTGATTTTATTCACACCAATTGCATTGTTACAGCAGATATTTCTTATTGCTCACAAAAAAAGCTAAGTCTACAGTTCTGACTCATAAAGCACTCAACTTTCTTTCACAAGTTTCTCTCTTTTATTCCAAGCAGCAGCAGATTTTACTGGCAAGATCAGATGCCATCTAAGGCCAGATCTGCCACATGGCATAGACAGAATGACAGGGTGCAGATACTTACTTCAACTGAAAAGCTTGCAGACATCATAGTAACAGTTGTTGATAAGTTGTTGATTCTTTATGAACCAGTAGCAGGTTGATACTGAGTCTGTGAATTTTGAAGCTAGGCTGAGCCCAAGACTTTGATGTGGGAACTGTGCAGTTGTTGCAGTCTGAGTGAGAGTTCAGAATTGTCCTTGAGTCCCTCAGCCTCTTGGCTTACCTCCTGAGTGCACTGCTCAAAGGGGAGCATTTTGCCATAGCAAAGTACTCCCAGCCTACTCCTGCATTCAGGTTGCACTTGGAGCAGGGAGCCTGTTTTTGTTTTATGACTCCTTGGTTCTACATCTGGTCAAACACTTGCTGAATTTTAAACAAAAATGAAGGCTGCTGTTTCTTGTTCCCTGCATCAATGGCCAAGAAGATGCTACTTTGAAAGACAGGGATTCAGAAGGTTTGCAGGTTTGTGGTTGGATTTGACACCTAGGCAAAATGCAGCTGCAAGAGAGAGGCTGCACAGCTATCCTCCTTTCCTCTTTCTCAGTGATAGGAAGGGTGATGAGATCGTGGCAGACAACATTCTTGTAGATCTGTGTCTCCGGCAAAAATACTGCATGGAAAAACAGACAATAAGCAGTCCAGGGAGAATAGGGGAGCATAGTATTTCATACAAAGCTCCCTTTGCTTGTCCCTTCCCAAAAGAATTTTCATCTTTTGTGCTTTGGCACTGTGAGACAGAGAGTTTCAGGACTAAATTTGAAACAAATATAGGTTGTTTTATTTTCCTGATGTGTTTTTTAGTTTCCAGCACCAAACAGTAGCAAAAAAACGAGGTGCAACTTTGGTCCTTGAAGTGTGCCTGCCAGAGCATACAGGGTTAAGGAGGGTAAAGGGGAGGGGTTTACCCTAGGCACTGCTCGGTATTTGTGTGTCCTGTGAATGCAAGGCGTGTGTTCCACCAGAAAGCAGCCCTAGCCAAAGGATAATATGCTTATTCATTTGCTATGTTGGTCTAAGGTAACCACAAAGACCTAGAGCTTGTACAGTGCCAGGTACTCCAAGCAGTACACTAAGATAACATTACCTGGCCCTAGTCCCAGAGAATGACTTTTCCCAGAGTCAAATCGACCAAGCTTATTATATTACAAGATACTTAATTTCTTACTTTGCACCAATTTGGTCTCATTGAAGAAATAAATCTGGGAAACTTTCTTAGGACCTCAGATTTAAAAATCCAGTAGTAATAAGCTAAATATTCTCTTACGTCTTTTAAAAACTCTAGCCTTGAAACCCCGGTTATGGCATGTATTACGGTACAACATCAGCTTCAGATGTAGCTGCAGCCCACAGAACAATACACCATGACGTGAGTATCACTTTTAAATACAGGCTCTTCAACATCTGCTTTACTTTTGGACAGGAGCCAAACTCTTCCACAACCCTATCCCAGCTCCACCCCCGCTCCCACCCAGAGTTCAAGAGTGCAGCCACGCAACCTTCGTCAAACGAGATTCTTGTAGCAACTTCCCTCCCCAGCCTGGGGACTGCACAGAAATCCTCTTGCAAGGGAGTCCCTCCCGACCTATGCTCAAAGAAGAAAACAGTTGCTATAGTAACCACTTCTCTACCTGCACGGAATTGGCTCTCTCTTGCCTCTTAATCTTCTCTGGTTTTATTAGTTCTGGGCGAGAAGCAGCTCGTCAGGTCAGGGCTGTGCTTGGTTCTGCAGGCTGGAGGAATGCGTGCAAGGCGCTGGAGGGGGCGGGGGGTCCTCACCCATCAGGTGGTTGTTGCTTGCTAACTTTGCCTGCTGAAGAATGTCCTGTGTGAGGGTTGCCAGCACTGTCCTTTTGTCACAGAGCCACCCGAGCTGCAGAGGGACGGGCACTTTGTTTTCCGTTCCAGCCCCAGCTTGTGGTGGAACCCTACTGCTATCTTGTCCAAGAACAGACCTGTTAGTAGCCATCACAGCCTTCCTTGTACATCCTTTGCAGCCTCACTGGGATAGATTGCAGTGGAAAAAGAAACTGAATACAGTTTATTTTCTTTGATAGCACATTTTTGCAACTATTGTTAAGGTTAAAAATTACCACAAAACACTGAGTAAATTCTCAACTATGCTAAATTGTATCTTTTCCAATATGTCTGCTGTGGTCAGGCATTACACGAATAGTTTTCTGCATTATGAATTCCATTGTGGAAGAGTGTAGCTGGGAGCCAAACAAACCTGGTACAAGGAATAACATTCCAGATCCACCTCTAGTTCTGCCTGTGCAACACAGATAAATTGCCTCAACAAGGTGGGGTGTGTTCCACTGACAGAAAGTGGACTCAGGAGGGTACAATGTGGTGACTAGGGAGGGGGGAAAAAGCCATGGAATTAATTACTTTAGGTGTAGTTTTGGCCACTAATAAAAGGCTGCAGAGAATCACGTAGAGCAGGCAATACACTATAACAAGGCACCAAGCACTGTCACTGCTTGTATTAAATGCTCAGTCTGTGTGCTGTGAAGGACTCAAAAACATTGACTGGACACTGTGACAGACTAGGCAGCTAGAAGAGTTCCTTATGTTCATGTAGCTGCCATTACCATGATAGTAAATGCTCTATATTTAAGAACAACACAATAAAAAGATACAGAACACACCCACATCAATATGTTGCTTGAACAGCAGCCAGTAGTAAAATAGAAATGTGCATGCATTTCTAAAACATTTCAAGATCTATTATTGATCCAAATAATGAGGTAGGTCACAGACTAATCTTAAAACGATTTTGACTTTTAAAATATCTCTTTTTTTTCACTCTTTTTGCTTGTTATGCAACAATTTGCTATGCAAAGCATGCATAGCAATGGACTAATAGCAAGCTGAAATAACTGATTTGTGATGGAACTTGTAACTCCAGTACTGCTGGTTATTCAAGCATGATACAGTTTCCCCCTATGTTAGGATGTAAAAAGGTGGATTCCAGACATGGATTCCAGACACCATAGTTTTTAATCAGGTGCTGATTATACTTAAGAATTGGCATAGCATTTATGGCATCCTGGCAGTTTCCCATTTAAGCCAAAGAATGGTTTCTAACTGGTTATTTCCTCATGGGCCATTAAACCTCTAACAGTCAGCATAAGGAGGTGGCAGAGGGAAGATTTGGAACCTTTGGTGAGCCAAGCCTTCAGCAAAAGCAGCAGTGGAACTCTGCCTGGGGCAAGACACATATTTAAGACATCTTCACCTACTCACCTTGCTCAGATTCATTTGTTCCTTGCCAGTGATAACAATTAGCAGTCTGAAGTTACAGAGAGGTCATTGAGTTAGAAAATTATTCCACATAGACCCAGTGTGATTATTCATGGTGAACCGACTGCCAAAGAAGTGGTCAATGGACTTGGAGCACACACGTGGAGGGCAGACAGTGTAAACACAGGAGGGTCACCAGAACAAAGAGGTTGGAGCATTTCAGGGGCTGGCCGTGTTCTTCCTCACACACATATACACATAGATTTTCAAGTGCTCTAGCCTGAAACCTAGAAAACTACAGGTCTTGTCTGTTTTGCACAGACACTGACAATTTCTTAGCTTATATGATGAGATTTAAGTTACATTGCCATTTATAGGAGGAAACACATCACTCTCAATTTTCTGTGCTCATTTATTTTATGTATATATATATATATATATATATATATGTATAAATTCTCCCAAAAGATAAAATAATATTTTTAAAGTCAGTCCTCTGACCTAGTATCTTTGACAAACAGTATCTTGTTATTGTGCAAGTCTTTAGACTTTCAATAATCTTGTAATTGCCATACCATCACAAAATGAGCAGAGTGGATTTTTGTGTGAAGTACTCAAATTCATCCAGATAAATGGCCTTCTTTCAGAAACAGTCACTGATAATGCCAGGGAGTTGAGGGTAACTTTATAGACAGCCAGAGTAATTTTGTGATATACCTAAAATACCTAAGCATAACAGCTGTAGATTGGTTTTTGACCCCAGAATTAAGCTTACTGTTAATTTGTACCAGAACAGTGCTGTACACTACAGAGCTTTTTAATGTGAAATTTTGTAAGTAACTAATTTAATCCTAATTTGTTTCCATTTTGAAACACTCATGATAACAATTACTCATTATAACTAGAAAATATTAGTCACCAAAAAATTAATCCAGATTAGAAACCCTCTGACAAGAGAATGAAACCCATTGCCTCTTTAAACAGAGCATGTAGTACTCAGTTACAGGTACTTAACAGATTTATGAAACGCACCATGATAGAATTAATTTCCCCTTTCCATTCTGATGATAACACATGCCGACTAAATTTACGAATCCGGTTTGTTATGTATTAACCAGTCATCTGGGAATCTGATTGAGTAACACAGCAGTTGTTGCAATACCAAGACTCCCATATAAATCATGCCCGAGTCCTAAGTCAATATTGGTTCAAATATTGATTCCCAGGAGAGATAGGGCTGCAGTTGAAGAGGTTACAGGTGCTGACCTAACCACTTCAGAGAGGACTGCTCCCTCTGTGTTCATTTGAGATTGACATCAAAGTGCTCACTTCAGTTTGAATTCATGAGAACAGAGCATTTGCCTTCACTTTTGATACTGACAGTCTCTATCAGAACCTAGTTTTGATGTGCTAAAATCAAAGGTATCACATCGTGTTTAAGTACCAAGTTATTCAGTTATTTATACTCCAGAGACATGTAACATCTGGGAAGAGGAGAGTGAGACACAAGAAGTTATTATTTATGGGGCACTAAAAGCAGGAGGGGAGTGGGACATCAGGTATTTTTTCCCACTTATAGATGCTGTAACAACTGCTACACAAAAATAAGTGAACAAGCAGAAAAAGGAATATAAAGTTAAGGAAACAGTGAACATCAAAATGAAAAACTGTCTTCAACACTTTGGAAAATAGGAGTCTCTCATCAGTTGGAGGAAACTCAAGGGAAAAGGAGTGCCACATCCCATTTGTTTTAACTCTAACGAGGTATTGTGAGTCACATCTACACAGGCAATCTGCTCTTCCATTGCAATACAGCGATCTCCCTCACTTAGCCTTGAATCCCAGCTGTTCTTCTGAGTAGGACAAGCACAGTTCTTCTTCACAGTTAGTGATCTAAATGAGAATGAGTTTCCCCAGTCTCCTGGGCACTGCTGTCTTGGTAAGCCCTTAAGCAGCAGTTAGAAAAAAGAGCATATATACTCCATTCCAACCAGTCTGAATCAGTGGACTGTGGATAACATAAGCCAGGTGCTCTAAATCTTCATGTGTTGCAGATACTCATTTTAAGAGTGGCTCTGTAATTGCAATATTGACTAAGCCAGTTGCTAAGAAAGGGGTTTATACCACAAAAATGAAGTTCCTGTTTTAAGCAATTTAAGATAAGTACATTTACATAAAAACAGCTCAACTTGGCCTACTTCTATCTCTTAGAATAGCTCATTGTTTCTATTATTTAAAGCCACAGAAAATAAATATGCATTATCTTGGCTATCAAACTAACACTGTTTTCTTAATAATATTTGTAACAACTCTGTTGGAATCAATGCTTAGAGCATCACATCACATGAGACATGATATAAATCATAACATTTAGAAGTAAATAATACCTAACTAGTAACTGAATTCAGACTGAATTCAGATATTCTAATATTAAAATAATAGAATATTCTGAGCTGGAAGGGACCCAACTTCTGACTGCATGTAGAGCAACCTAAAAAAAGGCTAAACAATCTAAGCACGTTGCCCAAATGCTTCTTGAATAGTGACAGGCTTGGTGCCATGACCACTTCCCTGGGAAGCTTGTCCTAGTGCTTGAGCACCCCTTTGGTGAAGAACTTTTTTCTAATATCTAACTAGCCCAACCAAACATTCTCTAGGTGGCATCTCTACTGTGATATGCTTTTCACAATGCCATAGCACATAGCAGATTGTTCCTTGAACTCTGTGCAGACTCTCCTTGCCACGGACACATCCCATGCATGCCAAACTGAATATTTCTGGTCTGCAGTATCTGCTGTGGTTGAGCCTCCCTACGCTCCATGGAATGGAGAACAGAGCAAATTCTGTTATCTCTCCATTCCTTCTAATTGCCAATAGCTGTAAGACAAAATCCCTACATGTATCATTCTTCAGCACATTATGCAATTTAAAACCCTTTCCTTACAAATGTAGTTAGCAGATTGCTCTGAATTGCACAACTGGTTCTTTTGTCCACTGGTTGACAAACTACTGAAGTGTTAAGGATCATTTTTGCTATTGCAATCCAGCTGCTGCAGCCGAAACAAACATGGTGGTTCCCAGCTCATTGTAGCCATATGTAGCTCATTTCCTCTATACCAGTTG